CTCCTCCTCCGCCCCCTCCGCTTGTGCGCCAGCGACCCGCCCGCCCCCACGACGTCGCCGCGCCCGCCCCGAGCCGGCTGCCGCGAAGAGCTCGCTCCGAGCCGGGCCGTCGGAGCCGGGGCGCGCCCCGTGGGCCCCCCGTGGGAAGCCCAGCGGGCCCTCCGCGACCGCACCCGGCTGCCCGCCCCGCCACCCGCCGGGAGCGGCCGCCCGGGAGGCGAAGTGTGGCCCGACGACCAGCGCAGCCCATCCAGGGCCTCGTGGGCCGTCTGCAGGACATCTTGGGGGCCTCTTGGGCCGTCCTGGAGCCGCGAGCGCCCGAAGAGGCGACAGCGCCAACCAAAGTCGAAAGCCCCCAAAGACATCCATGATTTGGGCGCCGCCCCGCTGCCCCTCCACGCAGCGCCCCGCCCCCCCCCACTGCCGGCCACGCCGCGCCGCCCCTCCGCTCAACCACCGCCGCTCGCGGCCTGGCGCTGCCCCCCCCCTCCCCGGTTGCACCACATGGGTCCCATGGGGCCTCAGCGCCCAGGCCGCTCAAGGTTGCCTCCCGAACTGGACCAGAAAACAACCGGCACCGCCCCACCTCCGGCCCCACGGGCCTCAGCACATACCGTGAGTGCCGGCTTGGGCTTCTGCGCGGTAGACGCTGCGGCGCGGCGGCGCCCGACGGGCCGCGGCGCAGCAGGGCTGGCCGTGCGTGGCGCAGTGTCGCTCGCTTGTGGTCGGCAGACCCATCCGGCCCCCTGCGCGTCGCCACGCAGGGCGGCCAGGACAGGCGGTGCGGTCCGTAGGGGAGCGAAGAATGGCATAACAATAACAACTCGGAACTCCGCGCGGATCTCTTGGATCCGCGCTGGACCCCCTCCCTGGCGCGAGAAGCGCGCAAAGGGGGGTCCAGCGCGGACCCGAGAAATCCGCGCGGACCTCTGAGCTCTATTATGTTTATGCCACCCTTCGTCTTCCTGGTCCAGCAGACGGGGGGGGTGGGAGGACGGGAAGCGCAGGCAGACGACGACGTGCGGCCATCCTCGACGATGGACAAACCTCCCTTTAGTAGACCTCCCCTTAGTGAAAACGGCCTGGGACCGAAACCGACGGACCCGGACCCGCAAAAATGACGGCCGCGACGCCCTCTCGCGAACCGCAAACGGCCAATTCCTTAATCGACGTGTCAGGGTAGGAGGTCTGTCCACCCCCGAATAACTCGGGCCTCTGGTGGCCGTTCGGCCCGATCCTGGCACAACCCGGACGCCCCTCGGCGAGGCGCCGCCGCTGGAAGGCACCCCGAAGCCAGAAAGCCGCCGAGCACCAACGAGAGCGCCCGAAGACCTCGAAGCGTCGAACCTCGAAACGTCGCCCCCCCTGAGCCGATCCAATGCCTGCCGCTGCCCCTGGTTCTCTCGAGCTCCGGAGGCCCCGCGAAGCCCCGCGCTGGCTGCTGGCCAGCACCCTCTCGGAGTGCGGGCCGCTGGGCCGCCCGCCCGCCCTCTCGGGGGGCCTCTTGGCGGCCGCGGGGCGGTCCGCGACTGGCACAGCAACGTGACGAGGAGGAGGAGGAGGAGGAGGAGGAGGAGGAGGAGGGGGAGGCGAGGAGGAGGAGGAGGAGGAGGAGGAAGCGTCGAACCTCGAAACGTCGCACACGCCCGCCCCCTCTGCCACCGCGTGGGGGTACGGCGGGCTGCCGCGCGGGGCCGCCGCGGCTCCTCCAGCAGCACCTGCGGGCGCGCGCCCCCGCGACCGAAGCACGCGGCGCGCTCGGAGGGCCCCTCGCCCGCCAGGCCTGCGTGGACACATCGCCGCAGGGAGGGGCGCAACACTGGACCGGGACAGGTCGGGGCACCCCCTCCTCCTCCTCCTCCTCCTCCCCCTCCTCCTCCTCAATCCCCCTCCCCTTTCTCTCATCCTCCTCCCCCCTCCTCCTCCTCCTCCCCTCTCCTCCTCCTTCCTACTCCTCCTCCCATCCTCCTCTCTCCTCTCCTCCTCCTCCTCCTTCTCCTCCTCCTCCCCCTCCTCCTCCTCCTCCTCCTCCTCCTCCTCCTCCTCCTCCTCCTCCTCCTCTGAGATCTGGCGGTTCTGGAGAATGCATCGGGCGCCGCGGCCGTTCCAGAGCGCCCTGGAATGCGGGGGCAGCAGGCCCCCACAACCACAGCAAGGACGCACCCTGGGGGGATGTCTTGCGCGTGCCAAGAATGGCCAGAACACCGACACATGCGTGGTTCTGGCTGTGGTCGATGTGCGCGTCCCAGACGGCCAAATCGACCACAACCACATCTCAAGTGCTCATGTCGAGGTCGATGGGCTCTCCCCCGAGGGGCCCTCCAGCAATATCCATTTGGCTGCTCTGGTTCTTTGCTGCGCCTGGATGGAACGCTCTCGGCGCGTAGAGCGTCCCAGAGCGCTCTGGAGCGATGTATCCCGGGCCTGGCCCCACCCGTCGGACGAGCCCCCTGGACCATCGCTCGGACGTCCCTTCCCCGCGCCTTGTTCTATCTCGTGCGTGTGCTTCTTCACCAGAGGATCCCAAAAGCTCCTCGATGGCCCTCGCCGAAAAGAAAATGCACACGCCCGAGCGATGCCGCCCGCTCCTGCGCGGACCGGGGAAGCATCGTGAGGGGCTGCAAGCATCGTGAGGGGCTGCCCGGACGGCCCAGGGGCTCTCCCGAGGGGAACGACGAGTCGAGCAGGAGATCTGCTACAGAAGTGATCTACCCCAGAATTGATTTGCCCGCCAAACATGCGAAGATGCATCGAAACCTCGCGAAATTCGACAACTGTGTGTGTGTGTGTGCGTTTTTTCTCGTAGGCTCGACGAGAACATCAAACTTGTGGGACAATGTCGTCGATCTCCTACTCGAGCTATAGGGGGGGGCTGGCTCAGGGGGCGAAGCATCGAGCTGAAACCAGCGACGCGCCGCCGACAAGGTCGGCGATGTAGGCCGCCGACTGCAAACCCGCACGCTCCTGGGGGGGCCATCGGACCCGCATGCACTGAATGGGCGACTCGGGGCTTATCACTCTCCCCTGAACAAATGCCTTGGTGGTTTTCGAGTCATAACTCGGCGGTGGACAAACCTCCCTTTAGTAGACCTCCCCTTAGTGAAAAAGGCCTGGGACCGAAACCGACGGACCTGGACCCGCAAAAATGACGGCCGCGACGCCCTCTCGCGAACCGAAAACGGCCAATTCCTTAATCGACGTGTCAGGGTAGGAGGTCTGTCCACCCCCGAATAACTCGGGCCTCTGGTGGCCGTTCGGCCCGATCCTGGCACAACCCGGACGCCCCTCGGCGAGGCGCCGCCGCTGGAAGGCACCCCGAAGCCGGAAAGCCGCCGAGCACCAACGAGAGCGCCCGAAGACCTCGAAGCGTCGAACCTCGAAACGTCGCCCCCCCTGAGCCGATCCAATGCCTGCCGCTGCCCCTGGTTCTCTCGAACTCCGGAGGCCCCGCGAAGCCCCACGCTGGCTGCTGGCCAGCACCCTCTCGGAGTGCGGGCCGCTGGGCCGCCCGCCCGCCCTCTCGGGGGGCCTCTTGGCGGCCGCGGGGCGGTCCGCGACTGGCACAGCAACGTGACGAGGAGGAGGAGGAGGGGGAGGGGGAGGAGGAGGAGGAGGAGGAGGAGGAGGAGGAGGAGGAGGAGGAGGGGGAGGCGGAGGAGGAGGAGGAGGAGGAGGAGGAGGAGGAGGAACAAGAGGAGACAACAAACACACGCGCACGCGTCAGAAAAAACTGGTCTGAGGCCTCGATGATCCGTGACAGGATGATCCACCGAAGCCGCAGGGCCCTAAGAGATATCCAAAAATATTGCGCCGTGGAAGACACAGCGCGCGAAGGAGAGATGCCTCTCAAGATGTGACACGGTGTGCTCGAACATGTTGCGCCAGAGCCGGAACCGCCCGAGGCACGCGCCCACGGCGAGCGCAGTGGCGAGCGCGTGAAGCGGGGCCGCCCGCGAGGCCCGGCGAAGGCTCCCCGCCAGCGCCACGACCGCCGGCGGCGCTCACTGCGGCCACTTGGCCGTTGAACTACCTTGAGAGGAGCAACGAGGGAGGGAGGGGGGGAGGGGGGGAGGGGGAGGGTGGAGGGACGAGGAGGAGGAGGAGGAGGAGGAGGAGGAGGAAAGAGGGAGGAGGAGGGAGGAGGAGGAGGAAAGGAGGGAGGAGGAGGAGGAGGAGGAGGAGGAGGAGGAGGAGCGAGGCAGAGTCCCCCCGCCCCCCGCGACGCCGCAGGCGGGCGCGGCCGGGGCAGACCGGGGCAGGCCCGTCTGCGCGAGCCAGCACGGCGGCAGCCCGTCCAGGGACGTGGCTCAAGGGGGATTAAACAACTCCGCTAAGTGGGCGGGGCATACAGCCGCACACTCTACATACCATCCGCACTGATTACTTCTCATCTTGTCTCGACCCCTGCTCGGCTGTTCGACACCACATCGATGGCACGCGCGCCAGGTACTCCCGTGAGGCATCTGTTCAAGGAGGACGTTGCATTATCATCACCGTCGTTACAGTCGCCGCCAGCAACGCAAGGGAAACAGAAGACTGCTCGTCATCAAAGCCCTCTGAACAGCATTGACGACGACGACGACCTCCGCGCTGAACCTCAGCAACAATCTGACCTTCCTCTCGCGACTGCGGCCTGCACTGGAGAGGGGATGCAGAAGAAAGGTAAAGGTGGACAGGGAGGAGGGAAGTTGTCTGGGGATGTCAGCATGACCGCCATCGAGAACATGTTCAAAAAGCAGCTTGCGCTCCACCTGAACCCAATTCACAAGGACATCGAGGCGATAAAGGAGCACGGCGTTTCCAAAGAGGAATTGCGCATGTCCCTGGACCCCATCAAAGCCGACATGAAGCATCTCACCGAGCGGCTCGAAGTCCTTGAGGGTACTGGGTCCCGATCGCCATCGGCAACCTCCGCAGCAATAGCGAGCCTCACGTCACACATCGAACAAAAACTGTCCGATCTCGAGAAGCAGTTTGCCGGTCTTACTTCAACCAGGGACCGGGAGTGCAATGCAGTAGTAGGAAGATTAAGTAATTTTGTGAACATAGACGCGGCCATTACCTTCCTGAAGGAGCACTTCGACCGGATGGAAATGCCAGCGTACATCGACATGTTCACAAAGAGCGATTTCAACAACATCATTTTTGTAAAGTTCGGTAATACCGACAGCCGGGACAAGTTCGTGAACAGTTTCGGGAAGGCCCAGATCAAGCACCAGGGCAATACTGTTTGGACACGCGCGGACGCCCCCATCGAAAAACGTGTGCCTGAAAGCTTCTTATTCGGTTTACGGGAATGCTGTATGGACTGGGGCTACTCTAAAGGGGAAGTCAGAGTGGATACAAACGAATTCAAGCTCTCGATTGCCCAAAAACCAGTAATACGTGCTCAAGTGGTGGGACACCATCTTCAAATTCACTGGTACGGAGCTTGGGCTGCGTGGGAGGACCTCACCAACAGCTCAGAAGTCAAACATCTTACGGATCGGGCGAACGAGGCTTTAACACGGGCTTCGACGAAGGGGAGCGGAAAAGGGAAGAAAGGAAGTGGCACGGCTGGCCACTAGGAAACACGGCGGCGCATCGGCGACCCAAGTGCGCCCAAATTGGGAGAATGGGTAACTTTCCCATGCTGGCCCATAACTTGCGGAAGGATCGCATCCTGGAATGTCGAAGGCATTTCCCGGAGCAGCCCGCAGAAGGCGTACGAGATTATTAAGCATATGACCGACTTAGACATCGCAGTATTGTGTCTCCAAGAGACACATTGCTCCGGATCTGAAGTCTACGAAATCGAAGGCCATTTAATTATTCTATCTGGGGCTGAAGGTGATCATCGAGAGTACGCTGGAGTGGGATTCATTGTCTCGCCATGGGCCCGACCAGCACTCAAAGGCTACGTGCAATACAACAGTCGAGTCGCTAGTTTACGGTTGCGGGTTACAGGAGCTAGATTAACATTGGTCACAGTTTACGCTTGGACGAATTTGTACCACTACGACCTGCTGCACGACTTTTTCGCCGATTTGCTTAAGATCTACACGAAGTGCCGCTCTCACGGTCCAACAATACTTCTCGGCGATCTTAACGCACGTCTCCTGGAACGATTCGCCGGGGAGGAGGATGTCATGGGGGAGCACGTCTTTCGAAACAGTGCCAGTCATTGGGATCCTACGTCAAACCGGGAATTGTTGGTAGAATTGTGCACTGCGGTGGACGCTTGCATCGCAAACACGTTTTTCGACGTACCAGTGGAGTCAAAAGTAACCTACTTTGATATCGGCACGCGCCCAATGGATTTCATTCGGCCCGGGAGTTTCGAGCAGCTCGACCACGTCGTGGTCGACCAGAAGTGGTTGTCAAACATACGGTGCGTTTGGGCCGACCGGGCCAGGGCTCTACAGTCGCATCATTTTGTATGCATTGTTGACCTGGAGATCCACATCCCCATGGAAAAGCGACCCCCGCGGCCACCTCGATATGACTGGAAATCTTTACGAGATGCGGCAATAGCAGAAAAATGCACTACCAGCTTCATTACCAAAGTGGGGGCAAACCAAGTTAGCAGTACAGTACAAGAGAAAGCGTTGAACATCGCCGAATGCATGTTGGAAGCCGCTGCAGAACACGTCCCGCTACTATCAGCCAGGCCGCGCAAACCGTGGATATCTTCAACAACGCTGTCTTTGATAGACCAGAGAAATACTACAAGAGCTCA